GCAAAAATAATGTGTGGATATGATTTCGTTGTTAAAGAAGTTTTGAGTTATATATATATATATATATATATATATATATATATATATATATATATATATATATATATATATATATATATATATATATATATATATATATAATTTAAATTTTACATTTAGGACATGAATTTGTAGGTCTCTCTATCCCACGAAGACAACGAAAATAAAATCCTCACAAAAATAAGTGATTACACAGTATTTAGAATGCGTACAAAAGAAAGAAGCATGCAATAGTTCAAATTAATTTAAACTTATTATTGCACATATTGCGAAGGAATTCTTGTCCTGTTTCTGACTAATTAAAATATTGAAATATATTTGCATAATTGTGTTTTATAATGAGTTGATAAAAATATGTTAAAAAGGAATTCATAAAATATTTCTTTCCCTCTTACAACTGTACAACTTGGCAAAGAAATGGTATGCTTGCTTTAAAGTTTAAAAGGGACTATATTTTTGGCCGAACAGCAGCATAGCAAAAGATCACAAGATTTGCTCATTTTTTTTGTTTTTGTTTCATTTTGTATCGGTTTATGAAGTGTTTAAAATATGTGAAAATAAGAAAAAGTTAAATATAAGAAGTATAAAAAAAATACCTAATATTCCTTAAAAAGTTATGAAATAAGAGGAAATTCAGGTTAGTAAATGTTTATTTCAGTAATTATTTATCTCAATTTGGTAGTGTTAACTGATAGACCTCTTTGGTACATGTACTATCTTTTATGCCAAAAGATGAACAATTAAATAATACTTTTAAATGATAATGAACATAACATGATATAGTAGTAGACAACAGAAATTTTAAACCCTTAATGTCGAGGAAAAAAACATGACGGCTTTGACCTGACGTTGATATTCAAATACGACGGTACCGACATTCCACTTCTTGGGACTTGAGACCATATGGTACCCCGGTAACTGTTTATGTCTTCTGCGCACGCATACAATGATCAGAGAGAAGCGAAGCAATATTTTCGTCCTGGGCCAGACAATCGCCATATATATATATGGTTCTGAAACTGCAATTTATGAAGCCCACTGCATGTACTTAAAACATTTAACAAAATTTGCATGAGCCATGGAAAACTTCCTTTTTCAATTTTACTTTTTTGAGTCACTATGACTCTAATAAGTTTCCGGATCACTATAGATATCCATGGAGACTACAGCATTGTGATACTAGTAAGTCACAAAGATTAGATATGGTATTTCGAAAGAAATATAAAGTTACCTAATGAGGGTAATGCATTTTTGAAATAGATTTCATTGGGAAGTCAGTAGTTTGAGACTATTATCACCATGGACCTATTAGAATTGCTGAATGTTCTTGCAGGAATCTTAAGATGTACTGTAAAATCACTTATTTTCGAAGGGTCAGATTTTCGTGAATTTAGGAAAAATTACTGGTTCGAAGAGATTCGTGGTTGAAGGACAACCACTTTACTGTAGTGCGAAATTATAACATTTCATAGGGCAGTGAATTCGTGGGTCTTTTCATACCACGAAAACAACCAAAATTTACCCCCACGAAAATTAATGATTTCACGTATAAGACCATAGTTTCATAAATAATGATTTTAAAGAAAACATTCTTTTCGCGATGATAATTTATTATGCATTCATGAATTCCCAATACGAACTTGCGAAATTTTTATCCTTATTGAACATCCAAAAAAGTATACTCGTGAGTCTTTTAATACAAAAATCTTCTGCGCGATATCGAATAATATCTACTATACTAATGTCATAATTTTACTGTTAAATGAAAATCTGTTGTTGCGATATCGAATAAATTGAAATGGAACGTCTATAGTAAAATACTTTGTTGAATGTGGTGTTCCAAGTAGCTATAGTGTTGCAAGAATTGCAACAATCCCTTTTTTTAGCGTTCATATATTTAAATGAAAATTTAAAGCAATCTCACGAATTAAAAACATCATGCAATTCATGCTTTTGGTAAAAAGTCACTTTTTAAAGATTACTAAATGGCACCATAAATTTACTCTCTTTTTATACTTATGTCAGTACATTTAACATATTAAAGTCATTTGAAAATCTGTATAAACTTTATCAGTGAAGCCGTTTATAAATTATGACATTAGTATAGTAGATTTAATTCGTTAACACAATGCATACAGAAGATTCGATGCTGACTTCTTTAATTCTGGGGGGTCTGCTACTGGTGTATTCTTTGGATAATTGAACTTGGGAGAGTTTTATTTGAGAAACAACTGTTTGTTAGATATCACAATATTTGCAATGTTCATAAAAATGTGACAAATTTGAAGTTGATGAAAAATCGATAGCAGCTCTCAAACAGTATGTTAAAACAACGGACAAGTTTGGTCACCATGTAGTCAGATGTTAGTGAAAGACAACAGTGAATGTGTATGTGCCACATGGAACCCTTCTGTTCTAAAGAATTATTTTCCGAGACCTCTTTCACATAAGGTTAGAATTTCATAACTCTAGATGTATATATGTAGGTGTAAAAAATGAATTAAATCCAAACAAATACGTGTAAAGAACAAACAACCGAACAAACACCCCCCCCCCCAAAAAAAAACCCCAGTTCCGATAGAAAGGAAGGAATAAATTAACTATATATTTTAACAAAATTTTAAAAACAGACTTAATACTTGAGAAAATTATTATTATTATAAGAAATTAATAAAGAAAAGTAAGTGAATTCAATTATTCAAATAAGAAAGGGAATACGAAAATATTGTTTGTTAATCTGCAATGTAACTCCACGAAATCAGAGACGTTTAATATATTTATCGGAATTCCCAGCAAGAGACCTTTATATATGTTGTGATAGCTTACAGAGGAAGAGCACCAAAATAATTGTTATGCTGAGTGTTTTTGTTTTTATTATTGTCAATTATTTGGAAGAGGTTGGAACAATCGTACCACTTCTAGATTGTGCAACTTCCAGTAAGAATATCAACTCTGATTGACTGGTTCAAAAAAATTGAAATTATTACTTTGCAAGTAGAATATTAACGACATAAAAACATTCTTCAATTAAAAATTTGCGCTTAAATTTTAATTAAATTAGCAACAACTTGAAATATAAAAAGCGACATTAAATATTATAATTTAGAACAAGTGCATGAGCATTTTCATCTCATATCTGCGTATACTAACATATACATTCTTTATTTTGAAATACTAATTTTGGTCTGTTTTGAGCTTTGAAAAAAAAATATGCCAACAAAATCTTAGATATCAACTTAGCTTTTTGCTTTGGGGCAGAGGATGTTAACTGCACCTGAAGCTTACCGGTAATATATTCAGGTTTTATCGAGATTCTGTTTTCTCGCTAAATATGAACGTTGTTATTATCTATCAGATATACAGTGACAGATAAAAGTAGATATTATTAAAAACACTTAAAATTCTCTGTCTGGAGTGTTTGCTAAATGATTCTTACATATGTTTCTTGCTTTATAGATCAATGTTTCGCACAGTTCTTTTCCTAACATACTGTTTCTTGCATTTGTACTCATTTTTTTAAGTAAGATTTTTTTTATGTTAAAAAAATAAATAAAAAATAAAACGCATCAGATAGTTAATAAAATTGCCGTAAATAATATAAATTTGAGGGGAAAAAAGGCATTTCAATTCATTTAAGAAGATTTAAAAAAGACAAAATAAAATAAATAATAAAAATTCAATAAAAATAATTTTAAAAAATCGAGATATCAAAGTGGATCTTATATATATATATATATATATATATATATATATATATATATATATATATATATATATATACATGTATATATATATATAATTGAAATAATTTAATTTGTGATAAAATATAAAGATTTTAAAAATAAATGTAAAAAGATAATTTTATTCCATATGATGTAAAGTTATCTATAGTAATGTAAACAGAAAAGTAGCATAATATATAGCAACAGAGAGACGCTAATACAGAAAATAAGTGAAAATAGCATTTACATGTAATAACGTGAAAAAATTGGCACCGTGTAAACAATATGATGTATGAAATTTCATTTTCATTATTTGACGTGCAAGAAAATGATCAGATCGGCTTATAAGTTAAGCACATTCTATCTTTTCATCGCTGATTCTTGAAATTACATTCATGATGTAAAATTTCTGCATATTCAATTCACAAAGCCAGGATTTTTTTTTTCGATTGAAAATTTAATGATCTTCTCAGTTACATTATAAATAATACAAATTTTGTAGAGTTTCCTTTCCAACCCGTTCACATTAGAGAAATTATGACATAGCTCTATCTAAATGACCGCATGTCGCTCACTGAACGGAGAATAGCCGATTTCATATGGCCGGGGTAATTATGCTTGTGGAGTTATAATTAGTTCCAGCCCCATCGATATTTTACGAAAAAATTTTCTACTCTCTCCCAGAAAACTGGCGGTAAAAAGATTAAATTGGTAAAGTGCAATGTGCTTGTAAACAAAGTGGAAATTTGTAAATAGATGTACCTTAGCTTCAAAAATAATAAATTTTCCACATAGATTAACATCTTCAAAATTTTCCCTCAACAACTCTAAGCTACGGATTTTTGAGCAGAAAGGAAATATCAAGGAAGAAACTGTAATCCGTAAAACATCAATTTTTTGTTCTTAAATCTTACTATGAAAATATACTCACTTTACGAAAATATAATACATGCATATTGACACCGGAATTATTTGAAAATAATTGCAAAAAATGTACAATGTTCTTTAAAAAATCAAGAAAAAGAAACATTTTGCGCCAAAACTTTTTTTTTCAAACTTTTCATACAATAAATTCAAATTATAAGAATTTTTTTAAATCCCCAAAGTATTGCCTACTGGAGCGCGCAATGGAGGAGAAGGGAAGGTTTGTAATGAAATTATACCTACACCTTGTTCATCCCTGTAGTTTGTGTAAGCGATGATTACTATATTATTGATTTCACACTGATATTGAGGCCCAATGACGATAGAAAGGGGGCGGAGTCAAAGTTTGATAAGTCTCCAACTGGGCACACATACTGGTCTCAAAACACTACGCCGTAACTCGCACACCGTATTAAATATCCCAGCGCACTGTTCACTGTTTATCCTAAGATGTTTTCATTGTACTTCATTACTGTCAAAATAACCAACCAATATACAGGAATGTAGATTTTTAGCTTTAAAACCTGTGGAAATGTTATAAAAGACATTGAAGACTGAAGAGTTATTTGTTCTAACACGTTTAAATTTTCCTATATCATTGCTGAGGTTTCAGGAGTAAATGTGAAGACATTGTAACAATGCTTAGTTCATTTGTGGACAGAGGTGAGTCTCAGCATCTTCCAACCCCAGGAGTGGGATATCCTGACGGGGGGATGCTCCAAAACCAGCAATATAACTATTATAATTCCCAGTCCGGCGGATACCCCGTGCCGTACTCTAATGTTGGAAACTTGGCATCCCGAGATTTGTTGATAAGGAGATCTGAATTTGGACTGTCAGCTAATGATGGAAATGTTTCCGCTCGTTCAGGGATGCTATTTCCCGCTTCATCCGGGTTTCCGCCACAGCATCATCAGGAGGTTTCTCCGCACGTGTTGTATCAGGGACTCCGTCCTGATGTGTCGTCATATCACACTCCTCGTCATCAGCACGTTCATTCTCAGTCTGGGTATTTTAACATGCCCGCCAGCGGAGGAGATATGTACGGTAGAACTGACCAAATGGGGTTCAATACCTCGGGAAGAATAGATCAATACGAACACGCACAACAACAGTTCATGAGCCCCATGAATATGTTACAGAGTGGCCCTGGACTGTTTCTACCTTACATTGGAAGACCTGCTATTAAGCAAGAAAGAACTTGTATGTGGGTAGACCCTGACCAATCTGAACCAAGGAAGCCTTGTAACAAAGTGTTTTACACAATGCACGAAATAGTGAACCATATTACAATAGATCATGTCGGAGGTCCGGAACAGAACAATCACACGTGTTACTGGCAAGAGTGTGCTCGTGAATTCAAACCATTCAAGGCAAAGTACAAGCTTGTCAACCACATCCGGGTCCATACCGGGGAAAAACCGTTTCCATGTCCATTTCCGGGATGTGGAAAAGTGTTCGCCAGAAGTGAGAATCTAAAGATCCACAAACGAATACACACAGGTTGGTATTTCATTTGTAAGAAGAAAGAAATCAATAACTATTTCACTAAAATGTTACTTACACTTTTTTATGGACCATTACATATCTTCATTAAATTGATTGAAGTTACTAATTTACATGTAAGATGCATTGGAAACAATGTCGATTTTTGTGAAATAGATCTAGATTCTAAATGAAAATGTTTCACTATTGCTATATGCATTATGAAGAGGATCCTTGTTTCTTTGATTGAGAGTTGTAAATATTTTTTCGTAATATTGTGTACAATGTAAATTTATTTCCGTTTTAAATATTTATCAAAACTATGAACAGTCATAGACAATTTTATTTTAGTGATCGGTTACTGTCTAATTAAATCGGTGAGTTTGCACTAGATAAAATGAGAGATACCACCATTGTTTAGGAAAATATCAGATAAAGCAAAAACCTGGAGTGGCATTCGCACTTCTAAAAGGTTGAATTAGCTCTGTACTTATATTACAACTAGGCATTGACAATGTTCTAGAAAGTTTATTTTGACTAGATGATTTTCCCCCCATGCGTCTCTGAACGTTTGCGAGCCCGATGTTTAAAGCAGTCAAAATATTTACAGTACTCACTCGGGCTTTATTTTGTCCTAAAACAAGTAGACGCTCTGACAGGTGTGAGAAACTTCTGTTCACCTGCAACCGCTTTACATCACGTGCAAGGGAAAACTAAGGTCCATTGAAAATACGCGTCCGTTTGAACATCCAATGTTCCCACAAAAATAGCTTTGAAAATGGACTCCAAACTTTTTTTTACTCAATTTACGAATTGCTTGAAGACATACGCTAAGGAAAAATATGTACAGATGTTAAAATACAAGAGAGAAAATTTCCTCCGTGAGAATTCTAAGGAGGGAGGGTTCTCGCATCTGAAGAGGTCATTATGAAGCGTTATGTATTGAAAATACATTATTCTGTGTCCTTCAGAAATAAGTTCCTTTTGTAGATGGTCGTCTTTGGGAACAGTAGGTCCTTCAGAACGTCTAAAAGCGATCTGACAGAGTTTTCAATTTCTTTGATCTACATTTTAACATCGATTGTTAAGTTCAAATGTCTGGTTTGTTCATTGAGCATGCTTGGATACTTTATGATTTTACTTTTAGAGTTAATGTTTACCATGGGATAAAATTCAACATTCAATACTCTAAAGGAATACATGTATGAAAAGGTTTAATTTGCCACTTTCTAGAATCATAACAAATCAATTCTTTCCATCAACCTGGTTTTGAAATCACTAGGTCGCAGTTAATCCATCATTTCTGGGAAATTCTGAAATTTCCAGATTTTCCTCATTGGTCGACTCAGGATGCTGACCATCTGAGAACGCTATTACAAGTGTCTCTCCATCGCAATTTGGACAGCAATTTAGATAATAAACATACAATAAGCTTCCCCAAGGACTGTTAAGAAATAATTAGAAGGCTAATCTAATCGCTTAAAAGATTAACGAGGCGTTGATACCTTATCTTGATCCAATGTAGCAAACAGAAGGGTGTTGGATGTCCAATTGTATGCCCAATCTGCCACGTAGGAAACTTAAAATTTAACTTTTATTTTTAAAAAAAAATTCAAGAAACTTCTCAAATCTAACTCCAGTGTAATTTCATAAAATAAATAAATTATAATAAATGAACAACATTTTTGGAATTGGTTTTATGTATTTCTTTTAAAATCTAACCCAAATTTAATATAATTGTTAATACATAAAAATAAATGAACAATTTAACACTTTGGAATTCATTTTATTTATTTGTTTATATTTATTACAATATTACAGGGACTTGAACAGTAGATAACGAATTTATTTATCGTTAATAAAAATCCAACTCAGGTAGTGTTACCTTTGATTTTTTTTTTTTTTTACGCGTCTTTGGTTCCCTTGACCAAAAGTTTTATAATTATAGTACTGAGAAAAATGCGTAATTCATTTGGATTTAAATAATCAGCAAATATTCCAATGTTAAATTTTAATATTATAATATTATATTTCATATTATATTTTATATCATATTATTATACATGTGTATTTCAATTTCATATTAAATTTCAATCTTCTTCAATTATATATATATATATATATATATATATATATATATATATATATATATATATATATATATATATATATATATATATATATATATATATATAATTTTCAAGGAGAAAGGGGAAATAGGTAGTTGCTACAGCATTTTATGACATTAAATAAGATTTGGTGCTAACAAAGACTGGAGTTTGTATTATTACTGTTTATGGTGTCTAGTTTTCTGTTGCAATTCTTTAAGAGTTTAAATTTTTGTGAAATATTCCGAGTTACGGAAGTTATTATACATGTATTAGAACAAGACAAAAAAGAGAAAAGAAAGCTATCTTTAAAATTTCAGTTATATTCTTCCATGTTCATTTATTGTTCTTTGTAAATTTTTTCCTTATGTCTGCTTTATTCTAAATATAAACATTTTAATGAATGAAGACATTTTCTTCAAACAAAGCAAGCAGGCGACGTAAAGAGGATCTCTGTTTGTACTATTTTCCCCATTATTTGAAGACTAAGAAAATTTGTATCACTTGAGTTTACCGACTGCAGCTGCACAGCGGTGTTTATCGACGATTTAGAGGTCCAATGTCATCAAATCGCTCCAAAGCGGATTAAGGAGAATTTTCCACTTCAAGCAGTGAGATTTGCACATTAGGGAAAAAAATTCGGACAGGCCTTCCTGTGAAGGACCAAGGACACGATTGAAGAGACGTGTTAACTCTCTGCTTATTTCATAAAACTTTTTTCTATGCATAACTTCGGTTTTTTATATAAACTAGGTTGATATTTGGTTCATAGTAATTATGGCATGGTTGATCCTTCATCGACTTATTTGTAGTTCTATTGTGTTTTGAGAATAAAAAGAGATAATAGAAATTGATAATGATATTCTGTGTTTTATTACCGAACCTCGAGTAACTGGGTTATTTTCTCCTCAGTCCATAGCACAATTCAAAATTACTTAGCTATAAGACGTAGGTGATGAAGATATTTACATTTTTTGGTGTACTCAATGTGACTTGTAAAATATATGGCATAAGATTTTATTTCTTGGCAAATAATCTGAATTGAATGTGTGAAGTTGGAGAAAAGCATAGTGAGAACGGGATGACATTAATGGTGTCGCTATATTACTATCACTCCTTGTTTAAATGCACAAAAATATGTCACAAAAATATTTCCGTGTGTCTAGCTGAACCTCTGCGTTGAATGAAGAAAAATAGATAGCATAATTTCATGGCATTAGATATAACTGGTTAATACTTTTGGAATTTTACACAAATGCTGTCTCTGAAAAATAATGCAAAATTTCACCGCAAAACCTCAAGATTTCAGGCATAATATTTAGCTTTTACGTCAACATTAAAAAAATGTGTACTTTTGGCAATAAGTATATTACGTTGTTTATAGATTTTATTTTTCTCTTGCAGGTGAGAAGCCGTTTAAGTGTGAGTTTGACGGATGCGATCGTCGATTTGCCAACAGTTCGGACAGGAAAAAGCATTCCCATGTCCACACCAGTGATAAGCCTTATAATTGTCGGGTTCGTGGGTGTGAGAAAAGTTACACTCATCCTAGTTCTTTGCGAAAGCACATGAAAATCCATGGAGATGTGTCGCCAACAATGGAACGTCAGGATTCCGACGAAGTGTCCGTCTGTAGTGAGAGCACCTCCCGCACATCGCCGTCCACCGATCATACCGTCAAATCTCCAAACTTAACCGAACAACCTGTGGATCGAAAACCAAATATAAATGCCATTTCCGGCACATTACAATTAGACCATAATATTCATCCACCTGATGTTCCGAAAATGAATGACTGGTTTGTTTGCCACCCTCGTACCTCTGTGAATCCTGGTAGCAAGGACCACACCCATTTTTCAAGCATCGCTTCTTTGTCATCGTTCCATCCAATGCCCATTATGCAGTATTCGTGACGTCACAATGACTTCAATCAGGGACATTTAAATTATTTTTGTTGAGTTTGAGCATAAATATAGAAATTTATTGTATTTATCAAATTTGATAAATGGTTTATAAAAATATATCGTATAAAATAAAATGAGTCATTTACTGGCATTACAGATATATAGTTGAAATATACTTCTATCTTTTGGGTCACATTGCAAATTAATTTTTTCACAATTTTGTTACAAGTAAAAACGTTCAATATTACAATGTATTATTATAACTCATATATTTCTCTTTAAAGGAAATTAATTTTTAAAACCTAACCAAAACAAATAGAAATAATTCCATGCTACTGAGTAACAAGGTACTTATTGCAATATGTTGATATCAAAGGTATCTAACGTAATACAAATTCAATTGATATCTTTTTTTTTTAAAAATTGTCAATCTGAGAATATCCTTGTTTTTTAAGTGCTTTGGTTGTCAAATATGCGAAAATTCTATATTACTTGTCTTAATCTTTGTACACAAACCTTTTTAAATTGAGATTATATTTTCAGGGAACTGTTCCGAAATTAATTTCGCCTCATTAATGGGCCTCGATACAGTGTACAGTTTAACGGCTGAAGAAGCTAAATTGCTTTAATTGAGTGAAAAACATGTACTTGTCAAACAAGATCAGATTAATAGTTCAAAATCAAAGAAGTCTGTCGAAATTATATCAGTCATTTGGGTTTTTCACACCAAATCAAGACACAACTGTTTACTAAAATGTGATTTATATCGATGAAATTTTTTATGCTCTTGTGGAAAAAAGGATGCATATAACTTTTTCTTTGCTTTCCAAAACAATCAAGTGATACAAAAGGAGACTATTGAATAATTAATTAGCTAAACGCTTACATATAAATGATATGCACATTCAGCAATGAGTGAAATCTCTCAAATGTTAAAGTTTTACCAAACATCAGGATGTTCAGGCGATAACTTTAAAACCTTTTTTTTTGGATGGGGCTCAAACTTAAGCATGGTTTTGCAAATGACCTTAACGTGCATCAAGGTAAATTTCAAAGATCCAGAACATTAGGTTTTTTGATTCTGAATTAATATCTCGAATCCTCGATAGGAGTTGAATCAAATATTTGACCTATATCAGAAGTCATTTTATTATGGTTCATTTGGATGGGCAATGATTAAAAATGTGATAACGATCAATCTCATAAATCCAGTGAACAAAACGAAGCAAAGCAAGCCCTGTACAAATCAGAAGTTAGATCAGGTGTCTAGGAGGAGTAAACATCCCTGTTGACTGGTCACACCCGCCGTGAGCGCTGTGTATTGATCAGGTATACGAGTACTCCGTCAAATTTAGTATAAAAGATATGACCTAATAAATGGTATCAAAACGTGTCAAACAAAATACGACCCAACTCTAGGTAGGTCATTATAACGACCGTAGAATTTGCGAAAAGCTGACTTTAAACAGGATTGTTGAAATCCCTGTAACATCAACTTATCTGTCAGTAGATTGCCTCGGTTTTAAAAATTGATCGTACTCAGATCATGTTCTTGCGATCGAATCAGGTGAGAGACATAAACACCATATGCAGGTGTATTGGAATATTACTACAAAAATATGGGAAGTTGACGATGAAAAAGCTGAAGTCATCCTGTTTGTCATACCATTGAGTAATTAGATGGCCATTATCGTCTATAGTCAGTAAAACATCAAAATATGAAACAGATATGGCAGACTCCGTAGTCCTTAATTTCGAGTTCACTGGTATATATATGGAGTCGACATAAAAATGAAAGTAACTATTGCTTATTGATAAAAAGTCGTCGATATATCCAAATGTCTAGTTGAAGGTCACAGCAAGAGCTTTCGTGTTCTCAAGTAGAAGACTTCTCTAGTAGAAGAATAAATTCTGCCTCATGCGAATATAAAAACAGGCCGGCTAATAAAGGGGCACAATAAGTGCCCATTGGAATTCCAACAGATTGTTGGAAGACCTGGTCTCCAAATACTACATAGATATTGTCAATGAGGAACTCCAGCATTTTTTAAAAATCAATTTCAGAGTACTTGCATGTAGAATAAGAATGATATTTAACAAAATAATTTTGTAGATGACCAATCACAAGGTATGAAAATTTGCGGGTTCCATTTCTATTGAGGAAGCAGTTGTCTATGATGTCAAAAAGCCTGTCTTTAATAGTTGAATAAAGCGTAGAGAAGTCTTATGTTTTGATGCTTTTGATGTTTGAAAAGTTTCGAGATTTTAGATTTTCAAAAAGATATTTGGAGTTTATTAGCATGCCCATTTGATTTACACCTCTTCTTACACATGTGTATGCATAATACAACTGAAGTTTCTCCTTCACAGCAGTTCTTTTTTAAATTTAACAAAAAGTAACCTTTTGTTTTTGATGACGTAAATTATGTGTTGACCCTTATTCAAGGTCATGTTTGAAGAAATTGTAGGTTGATATATATATATATATATATATATATATATATATATATATATATATATATATATATATATATATATATATATATATATATATATAGTGCTTAGCCATCTCCTTGCACTGGTGGTTTACTGTCGAAAATCGGCGAAAAAATCGTAGGCTGAAATATATAATTATAGAGAGAGAGAGAGGATATTCAATGTTTTGTAGATGAATATGGAATTTATTTCACGAGTGGGACAGGATTTTTTTTTATATTTTCACGAGTGCGAAGCACGAGTGAAAATATCAAAAAAATCCTGTCCCACTCGTGAAATAAATTCCATATTCATCTACAAAACATTGAATTTTCTGTTTATTACATTTTCTTTGATTTTCCCTTTGCCCCTGTCCTTTCTTAACACAGTGTCATAAGCTTGACGTCATAGTTGAGCGGTTGAGACGTCATAGCTTAGCAGTTGCGAGATTGAAAACATTACATAGCATGGATTTTAGCAACATATTTGGGAAGAAATTTGCAGTTTTAGCTCTATCAAGATGGTTAGTTAATATCTCTATCTTATGACAGGCCAGAAATTATTTTTTACTTACTTTGATATCCTTTCACACTGTGAGAGAATATCATTTTGGTATCCTTTCACTCTGTGAGAGAATATCACTTTTATTCAATAAATAAAACACAGTATTTCACTGTTGAAAATGTAATATATATATATATATATATATATATATATATATATATATATATATATATATATATATATATATATATATATATACAAAATTTTCACACGTCTGATAAGAAGGGGTGTAGTACTATAAACTTATTTTTGGCAAAGTCACTGCAATACCGGGATAACAGTCACCTCAAATTTGAACTTCAAACAACACCTGCAACAGAAAGATGGAGGCAAACATTTCCTCACGTAGGTCTATGTAAGGTCACCAATGTCTGATTATCTCTCTAACCAAATACAACAAAATATGTAACAAGCAGAAATAAATACGGTCTGTACGTCACATCAATACTAGAAATATTTGAAATATTAGTCGAGTCATCATTATTATCTCGAGTCTACGATAAACTTGTCATCCTCTTGTTGACTGTTAAACGTATCTGGTATATAGCCCGGGGTACTTCAAGCAATTCCTACCAGGCCGAGCATCGCAGTTCCACCATGACTCACCAATGGGGCGTACTAAAATACGGGCACTGTCCCACTGGCCTTGTGAGGACCTGCTAATTAGAGGGTATTCTACAGAGCCAGATACAGCCTGTCGTGACGGAAGCATTTTGCTACTGCCAGTTGCTTTAACCCGAACCTGAACAGTAAAAATATTCCATGAAGCCAAACCGTATGCTGAAGGCATCATTACTGCTGAAAATATTTCTGATGAAATAATTAATTACCTAAATTGTCAACCAATTTATGATATGGATTGTTTTAACTTTTTAACGATTCCAAGAACGAAAAAAATATACAGGCTACTGAAAATAGGAAAACTGTGACACGTAATTCACCAAATATATAGTGAGTCATTTTGGAGGTGGTCTACTCACCTAACACCAACCAAATGACCGCGCACCTGTGTAGAGGACCCCCAGATGTGCCAGGTACTCCAACCCTATCAATCAGCAAATAGAAAAAAATACCCACACATAGTTGGCTTTATCTAAGAACTGGAGAGTCATGATTGCTGATTAAAGAGATAATGATGCTCTGTCATAAGCTCTTTTCGACTTCTTTTCTGTCGATTCTGACAATCGACAAAAACTCTCTGTTTTATGTATGTTTTCTGAATACAAGACTTCAATATAAGCTCTGACAAATAATATATTTCAAACAAAAACATGATACTTTATAATGGACCAAAAACCTCATCACTCATCAAATATCTGTTATTGAAAAATTGGAAATACCTAATTGTTGATGGTAGATGAGACAGTATCTTTGAAAAGAAAGTTCATAAACATTTCGTTCGATAGAAGCATTCCAAGATTGAAGAAAGTCTTGACGAATTATAAGCTCGGAAAATCAACATTTCCTGTCTGTGGACATTTCCGGAAGGGACCTGTCAGCCTCCACATTAGCACCGGGAGTAGTGTATTAACCAGAACAAAAATGCGCTATAATCACTGACGGACTCAACCAACATGAAATACGTGCAATGACACTTATTATTATAAAAGGACAAAGCAAAGTGCCATCACACTGAGATAGAGAGAGAAAATTACCCTCATATTGCCCGCCAAACGCGGCCCCTGTTATTTTAGCACGAATTCCAGCACAGCAAGGAAAAGACTCACCACGAATTCCCAGCAGTCTCTAGCGGAACTTGTCTAGTTAGGACCGCCATGCCGGTGGTCGCTTATGTCTTCATAAAAAGCTTCACAGTTGACATGTCACCTCTGCCATGTCGTCTCCATTGTCCTACCGCAGCAGACATTCAATTTTCCTTATTTTAAACGGTTTATGACATAACTATAAACTGTAGACATATGTAAATCAAAATATTTGTTGAAGACAAACACTTATTAGAGTCTCGGTGAGAGGTACTTTTTTCCTATATTACAAACAACTTATATTTCCTCGTAAATTATACTTTTTGTGAAAGATGCCTTGGAAGATTGCAATTTATTTAATGACACTTCAAGAGAATTTACAAGCATTCAACA